GAACTGATAGAGCTATCCAGTATAAATAAAGTTAGTTTAGTTTAGGTTTTCTCCTGTAGTAACACTCGATCAATAAGAGTTGATCTTTACTGGACCTCCAGGAAGAACAGTTTAGAACTGATAGAGCTATCCAGTATAAATAAAGTTAGTTTAGTTTAGGTTTCGTCCTGTAGTAACGCTGGATCAATAAGAGATGATCCTTACTGGACCTCTAGGAAGAACAGTTTAGAACTGATAGAGCTATCCAGTATAAATAAAGTTAGTTTAGTTTAGGTTTTCTCCTGTAGTAACACTCGATCAATAAGAGTTGATCTTTACTGGACCTCCAGGAAGAACAGTTTAGAACTGATAGAGCTATCCAGTATAAATAAAGTTAGTTTAGTTTAGGTTTCGTCCTGTAGTAACACTGGATCAATAAGAGATGATCCTTACTGAACCTTTAGGGAGAGCAGTTTAAAACTGATAAAATTATCTAGTATAAATAAAGTTAGTTTACAAATATATCTGTCTTGAATTGTCATTTATTTCTGCAGCTTTTATCAGAGAATCCCAACATTAAAAGAATTGAAAATCCTGGAAGAAAGTCAATTTTGTATTTTGATGAGGTGAGTCAATCGTGATCATTAGCGAATATGAATGCCTGTTGTGGTATCTTCAAAAGTTGAAGACAGATTGGACTTTTCTGTATACCCTGAAATCTTATTCTGCAGATCGCCAAGAGTGATGAACTATGTGTGAACATCACGTCATTAAGAACTCACGCAGTCGGTAAAGCTCAACCTATCCCTGTCGTTGTCTACGATTATTACAAACCAGGTATGCGCATTTAATGAAACTAAACTAACTTTATTTATACTGGATATAGTTCTATCAGTTCTAAACTGTTCTTCTCAGAGGTCCAGTAAGGATCATCTCTTATTGAGCCAGTGTTACTACAGGAGGAAACCTAAACTAAACTAACTTTATTTATACTGGATAGCTCTATCACTATCAGTTCTAAACTGTTCTTCCTTGAGGTTCAGTAAGGCCATAATTTCTTATTGATCCAGTGTTACTACAGGATGAAACCTGAACTAAACTAACTCTATTTATACTGGATAGCAGTTATAAACTTTTTTCCTAGACAGTCCAGTAAGGGTATCTCTTATTGATCCAGTTTTACTACAGGATGAAACTTGAACTAAACTAACTTTATTTATTTATACTTGATAGCTCTATCAGTTCTGAACTGTTCTTTCTAGAGGCCCAGTAAGGGGCATCTCTTATTAATACAGTATTACACAGGAGGACACCAGAACAAACCTCCTGAGTAAGTTGCAGAGGTTAAAGGCCCGTAGGTTTAACCATTGTGCTATTCTTAACGCTAAAATATATTTTGCTGACATCTTTTCAGAGAAACGTGCTGTGGTGATGTACTCCGCGGGTCAAGGGGTAGACGTGTGTGATGTTTGCCCCGACTGCATTGACTGCAAGGAACGCGCGGGTGGGAGGACTTGTAACGAGACGTTGAACTGTTCCACAGGCCCCGCTACTGATGAACCGAGCGCCGTTGATGATGGGTCGGCAAGTACTCATGGGATATCTCTGCTACTGGTTATCATTGTGGAGTTATCTTTGATGCTACACTTTGAATTTTGAGTTTTCAACGATACGGTTGTTTTACTACAAGTAGTTGATGATTTAGTACATAGTCTTTTTTTCCTGCAAGCTGGCTATGCAGAACTCACCCCAGTATATACATGATGGTTGGGTTGGATGAACTGGTTGACTTTAGGCCGATTGATACTACACAATTTTTGCCCGGCTAAAACTGTCGCATGCAACCTGCTTACAACTTGAGTTGTACTGTGTAAATCATGGGCAGGTTGGATGCGACGGTTTTAGGAAAAAACTATTTGTGTAGTGTAAATCGGCCTTTCAATTGACTGATTAAGGTAACTGGTATAAACTATAAATTGCATTTACCTTGTCTTTTTGTATCTGTGCTTTTCGTGCTAGAGGGCAAGTAAGGGCCTTATTGATCCAGTACTAAACTAAACTAAACTAAACTAACTTTATTTATACTGGATAGCTCTATCAGTTCTAAACTGTTCTTCCTAGAGGTCCAGTAAGGATCATCTCCTATTGATCCAGTGTTACTACAGGAGGAAACCAGAAATTTCCATCTACTTTAAAACCCTTGAATGTCAAGCTGGAAATTTGTTCCTAGTTCCCACATGCAATTGAGACCAAAATATACTCGGACAAATTCTCTCGCACGAAATGCTATATTTAGCCGAAAGAAAAACAGATTTGCATAAATTTCGCGTCCGGTGCGCTGTGATATCCTGCGGTGTACTGTGGGTAATTTTCTTTAACCAACCGCGATGCGCCACGGGAATCACGTGACGTCATATATTTACGTGCGTACTTTGGGTCGGGGAAGAACAACATAATGGAGACCTTAGCTTCGCAATCGTCCATAAAACTGGTTGTAAAAACGCCAAATCAACGGATAAAAGACATCGAAGTTAGCTGTCTGTTAGAATGGACCGTAGAGAAGCTGAAGAGCCATTTATCCACCGTTTACCCGACGAAACCGGTACGTTTTGACATCGTTTGTTCGGCGTTTCAATTTCGTTATTTAGAACCTTCTCGAAAGTTGGTCGATGTTGACATGTTTTGCTGTCTTAATTCTTCGCTTGATTGGGCTTTGTCTACGCTATTTTTTAGCCATCTGTCTAGTAGTTATATTTAGTATCATTGCTTTAATTTCTCTGTAGGCCCGAAGCAGTCAGAAAATCATTTATTCTGGCAAACTGCTCGATGATCAAATCATTCTAAAAGACGTCTTACAGGAGGTATTTAAACAATTTTTGTTTTGTGCTTTCTATTTTTAATTTCATTAATGCGATTGCTGTCATTTGCAATGAAATAACACAAGCAACATTCGTAATTATTGTTTTTTCTTAATACTGAACTGTTTTGTCTATAAGTGCTTTCGTAAAAAAAGTTTTAAAATATCTTACGTGTTGAAAGTCGAATGGACCTTGAATTTTGATGATGTAACGCAGCAGTTATTTCGTCCGATTTGGCCTGTGTATATCCTTGTATTTGCAATATAACTAATCGGTTTAAAGTTGCATACTTGTATTGTATTACAGCGTTGTTAATAATATATTTTTGTTGGAAATTTGTACATTCATGCTGTCTATTTTTTGATAATCAGGTGTGAAAATAATATGCATCGGATTTGCAGGAAGCATTTGATCACATGTCTTCAGCAAACGTCATAGAGTCTTGCTGAAGCTTAAAAATGACATCTTTGCCTGATTTATTTAATAGATCTCTTTTAATGAGTCAAATATAGGAAAACACTTGATTCGATATCCCAAGTGCAATTTTTAGTGACAATTTGCAATGCAGATGTTTATGATATTTATCGGTTCACCGAGGACATTGTCCTGTGGGGCATCGCATAAAGTTTACCCCGTGCCAGATAGCTTTCAGTAACAATGTGAAAAGCGCTTAGGAACGATTTTCAGAGGAATTATTGCAACTGAGAGATGTTGTTTTGCTCAGCTTCTGAAAGTTGTGCACTCTGTATCGGATAGATCTGATATGGTATAAATGTAGCCAGTATATTGGTCAAGTTGCAGCATCAGACAATAGTGCTGTGCGCCGGAGTTCTGCCGGAGCTCCGGCGGTTTTTCCGACGCCGGAGCAGAATTTTGTATGCCGGAGTTACGTTTTCCCAGCTCCGGCAAAATGACAAGAAAACAATATGAAATGAGACAAATGTCAAATGATTGTTAGTTACTGCAAACTGCCAATTGCTGTTAATGAATTCATCATGGACTCAAACTGCCACAGCCCACAGGAACAGCGTCGAAAAGCTGTAATACGATCGCAACTTACAAACGTCATGCTTTCATAAAGCCATCTGACTTAGCGCTACATACTGTAGTCTGTGTATTCATGCCTTGTAGATAACGAAAAAGTACAAAACAAATAAATATCAACCTTTTGAAAATGACGAGTACTTTGTTTGCATGCGAACAATTGCACTGTGGAGTCTGAGAGTGTTAGCGTCATGCCTCGCGTCATGCCTCGTGTCAAAGATTTTTAGAGGCTGGTTTCCATATAGATATTTTCTGTGTGGTTAAGTGTTTTCACTGTTTTGTTTCCTGAGTTATGTTATCTGATAATTAGGAAGCGCGAAAAGGGTTATTCATAATAATATTAATAAATGTTCTCTGATCATAAAACATTTCTTTAATATTTTATGATGTGGCCGGAGCCGGAACTCAGAGCTGTAATTCAGCCGGAGCCGGAGATGAAAAACTGGAGTTTGCACAGCACTATCAGACAAACATATCATCCATATTATTACTGTTTGCGAGCTGTGAAGCGTGCATTAAAAACCATGTTTCAAAACATCTTTCCCGCATAGTTTGTCAAACCAAAACTTTTTGTTTTGCTCAAGATAACATTTGTGGGTGTGACGTCTAACAAATTGGGTTGCATCCAAAATTTTGACATTGGCATGGCCCACTTATTAGTAATTCTATTTCATTTTCAATTCTTCAGAGCGAAGGACAACACCAAACTGTACATCTTGTCTGCACTCCATCAACCTTAGATATATCAAGTTCACAAATGGTACGGAAATCTATGAATTGCAAAGAGAATATTTTCAATTGTGTGCAGCAGATAGTTGAAGCGTCTTGTAGATGAAAATTATCGGGTGGAAATATATTTAAGAATTATTGGATAAGGCTGAGCAGGATATTAGAATTAGTCAGACCTCAATCAGCGTTATCTGCTTCAGCGAATTCAATAATTCTTTTATTATTCATTCTGTAACAAAAACAATCAAGTCAGCCATGCGAAAACTAATCAAAACAGACAAAAACTCATCAATTTCCAATTTTATTTAACATAAACAAAATAATTTTACAAAATTTCCCGCTCTTTTCCAATTACTTGCGGCAGAAACAAAATTGGATTACTGCAAAATCAGCTTTGCGGTAACCTGGGTAAACTTTACCAAAACAAAAACTTGTCAGAAAAACTTAGAATTTATTATTTTATATGTCCAAATGAATTGTAAAGTAACCCAATTCGATCGCAGAACACGTAAAGAAAATTTAAATATTAACTGTTAACACAGTTATTAATTATAGAATTAAGAGATTACAGACTTGCATTACTTCAGGGAAACCAAATTAGCTTACCGCAAAACAGAGTTTGCGGTAGACCAGGTTTGATTAGAGCAATTTTGGACAGCTTGCAGAGTAAAATAGCAGAGGGGGCACATTAGGGTGCAATGGAATGGCAGGTTTTTTTCAGGGATTTTTTAGTGCCGTAAAACGGCCCCAATCTTCTCTACAAAAACGGACCCAAGAGAAAATCCGGAAAAAAACCCTGAATGGGTTACCATTTACATGGTAATGATAAGTTGGCTCACCAATGCATAGCATGAATTAAATTTGCGATTTGATTTCAAACAGATGGCTCCAGTTTCAAATGCCCCAACCACTTCCAATCCCCAAGTCACGTCAACGGCGTCATCAAGCACGACAATGCAAGATACAACTGATGGACTGAGACATCGAAATCTTGCCTACGCCCAACATCCATTTTACAACATGCAATTGTAAGTGGTCATTTATTGTTCATTGTTAATTTGATGTGTTTTTTTTTACATGATAATTATGTTATTGCATTATATTTCGCTCCAAAATGATGCAGACAGTCTAATTAACCTGTCGAACCCCAGTACTTTCCCCTTGGCAAGTAAACTTGTCTGGCATTAGGCAGAGTAAAATAATAAAGTATGGCTCATTGCAACGTAATGGCCAGACTGTAAAGTGTTATTTTTCTACAGGGTGTCCCATACAGGGTGTCCCTATTGAAATAACGTATTGTTAGAATTTGAATGTCTCAGCACTCTGCTGAGTGAACCCACACGTGCATAGAAGCTTGACATAAGTAAATTTTATGCGTAAAGAAACTGTCTTAGAAGCTGCTATAAATTCCCAAGAGCAGAAAATTGTGCGCTTTACAAAGACATTTTAATTTCTCAATAAGTCAATATTTATAATATATGCACCCTTGTCAATATTTTACATATCTTTGCGTTCAACTTAGTGCTGAGGCATTCAAATTCTAACAATAGTGTTGGGTTTTTGGGGGACACCCTGTAGATCGTCTGCAATGGCATTTTCAAAGTTTCCTCTACCTCTTTTTGCAACGCCCAACACGTAAGAGACAAAATAAATCATTAGTTCATCAAAAATATGCAGATTTTGTAGGATTTTCTTGAAAATGTGTGGACAGAAATTCACCAGCTAAAATTTCTGCCTGTGGACCAAACTTTACAGTCTGGCGTAATGGGTTTAAAATATATTTTTCTTTCTTCGTAGTGGACATCCACCTCATTTTCCAAACGTTGGTCAAGCGAATGTAAATACAAACATGGCAGCTCATATGCACGCACCCTACATGTACCCAAACGCTCAATATTATTCTCCACATATCATGCACTACGCAGCGCAACAAATGGCGCATATGCATTGGATGCAACATATGGCACACATGACGCATGGCCAGAATATGCATGGCGTACCTGTACAACAAAATATGTAAGTATGTTTTGGCTTGTTGTTTGAAATATCTCCATTGGTTATCGATCAAAATTGTCAGATGTAGCCAATTAGTTCATGGTTCGAGATTGGCAGTATCCTAGTATCCATGACAGTACCAGTTTTAAATTTTGGATACCAGATGTCAAAACTTTGGTATCCTAACTGGATACCAGGAAATTCTTGCTTAAATATCAATTTTTGAACATTACTTATAAACTTTATCTAGGGAAATCACAAATATATAAATAATTTTACAGATAAATTTTGAAACGCTCCTAAACTTCGAGCAGCGAATGCTAAGATGTATATTTTGCTTGCTTCAAATTTCACTTCCTGTAACTAATTGCTGATATTTACAATCAGACTTTGAAGGATTTCATATTTAGCTGTTTTAGTCATTACAGCAAAATAGTCTGGTGAAGAACTCAGGAAATTTATAATAATATGTTTATATATTTGCTGTGTTGGTGTAGTGTACTCAGGTGAATAAGATGCTTGTGGTGTTACTCTGAGTGTATATCCACACCGGGCAGGCTTGAAAAATATGCCTGACCACAGTGGGAATCGAACCTACAACCTTTGGAATACTAGCCCAACGCTCTGCCAACTGAGCTACGCGGTCAGGTCGGTTCGAGTAAGTGATATTCTAGGAACTAGATTTGTTCTGGAACTAGATTCTGTTCGAAGGAACTAGATTCTGTTCCGAAATATCACATACTCGAACCAACCTGACCGCGTAGCTCAGTTGGCAGAGCATTGAGCTAGTATTCCAAAGGTCGTAGGTTCGATTCCCACCGTGGCCAGGCATATTTTTCAAGCCTGCCCAGTGTGGATATACACTCAGAGTAACATCACAAGCATAATATGTTTATATGACAATACATTTCAATGCATTTGGCTAATCCGTCGAGAGATTATTCTTGATCTGATTCCATCTTGTTACATTTTCGTTGAAGACCGTATCCTCAACATCATGTACCCCAAGCAGCGCCTCAGGCCAATCCGCCTGCTGCGGCTGCTGTTCCGCAAGTACCGCAGGCTCAGGAAAGGCGAGAAAACCGAAACATGGTAATGAATGCAAACGCGGGTGGCGGAATGATGCAGGGTGACGACGACGAAGAAAACGGTCAACGTGATTGGTTGGACTATGTTTACATGGCTGTGCGCATCTCGATGCTCATGAGCATCTTCTGGTTTTATTCCTCTGCCGAGAGGTTGATTATAATGGGACTGATTGTATTTCTTCTTTGGCTTATCCAATCCGGTGTTTTTAACTTGAACAGAGCTCAGAGGAATAGACCACAAGGTAATTATTTTGTGCATGTTTACAGGGGCGGATCTAGCGCAAGGAGGGGTGCAGGTTTTGCATGGGGTAGTGCATGAGGGAGCCTTACTGCCCACTCTCCTCTGCAGTCTGCAACGCTACTATCCCAACATTACCATTATTTGAGATGGCCGCGAATCTGCAAGTTCGCCGTTCTGTTACGTTTTACATTATCTTTTGTTTATAAAGTTTATATCGGCTTTTTATCACGTATGCGTGGCTGGACAGTCGCTGTAGCACAGTGCAGTAAATTTACTTGTTAAAGTACAGTATATTTGTAAATATATATGGCTGTGTAACAACCTTGACATGTTTACATATTTAACCATGATATTTAACTAAAGCATTCTGAGTATTTTCTCGTGAACTCACAAATCAATACACGACTTGCATGTTAGACTAATTTTTGATTTAGGCAAAAAAGTAAATTCCCGTAAAGAACTTATGAAAATCAGTAAAATTGCAAAATTTGGTTACGAAATGTTGTAAAATACAGAAAATATAGCCTTGCGAAGTTTGTATATTTTCAATATGTTTGTATTACGTGCGGAAATTGTTACCATTTTTGAGCAGAAAATGGTAACAATTTCCGCACGTAATACAAATATACTGAAAATATGCAAACTTCGCAAGGCTATATTTTCTGTATCTTGCAACATTTCGCAACCAAATTTTGCAATTTTACTAATTTCATCATGTTCTTTTTAACTGTTGTGTTTGATTCCCTCCCCTTCACTTAGATTAAAATTTAGTCTAACATGCAAGTTGGCCATTAAATCGTTTCAAGAAATCGACACGCGCTAACAGTGTCAGTCATCGAAAAGCAGAAAATGTATGGTCTAGCAGATTTTTTTGGGCGGTGGTGCTAGACTTCTCTAGAGGGTGGGGGGGGGGGGACTAGACACCTATAGGTGGGTGATTCGCTCGTGGTTGTTGACCTTTGGTGCAAACGACAGTAAATAGTTTGACCAAATGATTTTGTTCTGTATTGGTTTAGAAGTCCAAGTGAATCAGGGCCACAATGATGAGGCAAGACAAGGACTTGATCATCATGAACATGGTACAGAGGAGGGTGAGGTGATAGAAGGGGACACTGAGAGCGAATCAGAGTCCCAGGGTGAGGATGAAACGGACAACAACAATACACATCCGGGATATTTTGTTGTCGGCTATAACTTTTTCGTCACTTTTTTCACGTCGTTGGTACCACAAGCGCCCGGGGCCGTTGCGCAGCCGTAATAACCTCGGGTTTCTTTGCTACCCTGTCTTTGATATTGAAAATACATGCAATGCATAAAGCCGTGCTTATTATGCATATTAACTACATAATTCATAGGGTTGACCTGATTTTATACCAGAGACGATGGTCCGTTTTGAGGAACGACATGGTAATACGTCCGATAATTCGTCTGTATCAATGCAGCAAGTTAATTCGGTTATTTTGGCTAATCCATCTGGAGACTTGGTCATAAGCCGGTTCAAAAAAATTCCAATACTGTTGTTGGAAGAGTGCGTTGAATGATCGCGCGGATTCGTCGTATGTGTTGTACAATGCTGGCAGGGCCGTCGCTACGGGGGGTGAGTGTGGGGGTGTGACACCCCCTGAAAACATCTTTTCTGCTGCCTCGTACTCTGGCGCTTTGGTTTGTTTACGTCTTAAGCGCACGCGGGACGGCACGCGAGGGAGAAAAACGAAATCGATCAAATTAATCCATGCGACCCACGCAAAGGCCACGCAAGCCCTGCCTCGTACCCAGGCGCTTACATGAAGTATTCAGGTAGGCATCCGACGCGCGAAGGGGCTGTTGGGAAGGGTGCGTGCTGGGGAGCGCCTGGCAGTTCTTGTATACTGTCATGGCGGGAAAACAGGGAATTTTATACAAAAAGTTACAATATCGTCATATACTCTGTGTGTAAAAGCTTACTTTGTGATGAAGAGTTGAATTGAACGCCATTGGCAAATAATAATACATTTGTAGATGTTCGATGACATGCAAAATGCGCGAAAAATTATGAGTAAATAACATGACAAGTTAACCGTGCGAATATTTCGAATATGTCATTCGATATTACATGGAGAATAATAAAATGCTATCAGTTGCTCAGTTAGCATAAAACAGTAACAGAGAAATGATTAGAAAGTCATATAATTGCTTTGTATTAATAACTTCTTTAGCTGAAAGCTCAATCAGTCGATTACAATGCCAATGGCAATTTCTATTAAATGTATACTGTAAACAAAAGCCCAAGTAAATAAAAGTTCACAGCCGTAAAGTTTGAAATATTTATTACAATAGTGCAATTTTATAGTCTGTACCTTTATATAGTTATAGCTTACAAATCTAGTTCCTGCAAGTCTAGTTCTTCAACGCTTCGGTTGTTGACATGTTAATATTGGAATTTCCATGGACTTTAAGGGCATATATATGTCATATATACCAAGAATAGCAACATGAATTCACGCCCGGATGACAGAAGAATATTAACATTAGTCAATTCAACAAAAACACGTAGCAAAAAATCGTAAACGACAACGAAATAGCACAACTTGCAAGAAATCGTACAAATTTGCAAGAAATCGACCAAGATCTGCCAGGCGTCTCGCAGTTCAAGTGCACTCTTCCCATCAGCCCCTTCGCCATCTCTCCCCACTACAATACTTCATGTAAACACGTCATATGGGCATCACTGCTTTTTTACAAAGAGACGCCTGGGTACGAGGCAGACGCAAGCCATAGAACAACACATAGCGCCTGGGTACGAGGCAGTCTTTTCGGCAAAATGACTGATTTGTTGCAAAATTCTTTTCGTAGTCGGTAAAATATGAATGGATAGGAAGTAAAAGAACTGAAGAAATATTTCATTGACACTGATTTCAAAGTAATAGTTCTGAAAATTTAACGAATAACGGTGCGTTAAGCCAATGCATAAATTTTTTAACGTACATTGTCATACGATTATGATGTATTAGCAATCTAGCACTGAAATTTCTGGAAGGTACAGTTAAGTCCGACGTCTAAATCAATTGTTGAAATTGTGCCGTATTTAATTTGGTTAGGTTCGGCGCATGAAAAAACCGCGCCTAAGATGGCTGATCCGTCAGACGGGTGATGCCTCACGAATTATGATATCTCTTGTATAAATTGGGCTACTGTTGAAATGGTATATACTCTAAAAGAGTTGGAAAGGTAAAAGCAATTCACAGCAGTACACACGTATAAGGATCTCACAACTTGTCAACAAGATGTGTTCGCAACAGGCTTGTACCTTGTTAACAAGTTGTAACAATGCTGTTATTTTATCAAGTTATCTGTTATTTTGACAAATTATTGAATTGCAGGACGAGAACAGGTTGTTAGAACAACTTGTAACAAGTCTGTTGAGCTCAACAACCTTGTAGCAAGTTGTCAACAAGCCGTTGACAACTTGTCAACAAGCTGGGAACAAGCAGTGCGAACACATCCTGATGACAAGTTGTTGGAACAATTTGGCTGGGCAAGCAAGCCGGGGTCGTTTTATGGTAAATTCCCAGCCCGGTCACCCGAGTTCTTGGGTATAAGTCGAGGCCGGATCTCGCTCAGGAGGGCCAGCTCAGTTCCCAGTTCTCGCCTAACTAACTATAGCTTCGCCTCCAATTGCACCCGAACGCATAAAAGGGGAGGTCTGGTCAAATATGTTCCCACTGTTTGAAATAACTCGTTATTCTCTTGCAACAAGCTTAATTTCAGTGTATCGAACTTGTTGCAAGTTGTGTTTGGTAT